TCTGTCAGAGATCCAGAAAAGAAAATCTGTCATTTTTAGCAGCTCAGCTGTGGAATAAAAAAAGCTGCTAAAAGTATAAACAACTRTGTTAAATCATTTTCATTTATTCAGAAGACACACCATTGCGCACCGTACCCCCCCACCACCACTACCACCACCCCCGCACCGTGCGGTCGCAGGTGGTCTCTGATGCGGGTCTGAAATAAGCCTTTTAAAATGTTTTCAAAATATGTCTGGAACTTTGGAGAAAATTCAGGGCTCGCTGGAGGRATTGTGTACCCCCTCTGGCCTGGGAACGTCTCGGAGTCCCCCAGGACATGGAGGGTGTCTCTGGGGAGAGMGGGGTCTCTGCTGCCCCCGCGACCCGATCCCGGATAAACAGCAGAAAACGAACGGATGGACAATTTATATTGTTAGTCTAAATTATTACATTTAAAATTATAACTAATTCAAGCAGAATAACTTATTGTCAAGGTAATCATAGAGTGTGATTTATTTTCAACTCAAAATATCTTCAAACTAAAGAAATATAAAGTTATTAGTGAAGAAAACCCGTCTGGATAACTGCAGGCTGACTGCTGGTAAAATATACGACAGGTCTGGACCACTCATAAATTTTGTTCGTATCTGAAGAAAATCTTAGAATACGAAAACATTGGTGAATGCCACAAATTCTCCTAAATCACTCGTACGCACAACTTAAGAACAAATCTGTGCGTACGAACGGTTCTTGCATGAGGCCCAATATATCCAAATATGGAATGAGGTTATCTCTTTCAAATGACATCAATGAATCCTTTTAAAGAAGAAGAATATGATTGGAACTCATATTCCAGAGGTCATCACGATTAGTGAGACAAATTAAGCCATGTCAGGAACTGCTTGTATCAGGTTGATCTAAAGCAAAATGTARCTGAAAAAGCCAGCAGTCTGAGTGTGTTAGYTTACTTTGACTAATATGRCTTAATCCCTGATTTGACATGATGGATTCCATTCAGTGTCTTTTTTTCCCCAGCTTCTCTGCCGTTACTAACAGTGACAGGAACTGTGAGTTTGGCAAACCTCGACCCGAGGGTGACCTCTTCCCTTCAAGCTTCTGTAAGTGTCACAGCAGATCTAACAAAAAGAAAAAAATGTTTTACAGTAAATGTTTCTGTATCATTATTACAGTCTAAAAAAGCTGGTTGAGTTTGTTGTTTCTCAACATCAGAAGTGCTTTCTTCATTTTATACTTATATTGGTTTGTTCTTAAATGTTTTTTTTTACCTTTTGTAAATAACCTCCTATTTATTTTCTGTTTGTGCCATGCCAGGTAAATGACCTGAATTTGTGA